AGGCAGTTGAGTATTTCTCATTTTTATATATAAGTTGTTGTGCTATGCAGAGAATACTGCTTGTTTTTAATTCTATTGTGATAGGGTATTCCTCCTCTGATTCACATTTTGCCTCAGCTATCTGGAAAATATCTTATAAGCAACTGCACTCAAAATGCAAATTGACATACAATATCAACTTCCAAGTTAAAGGTATACAACACAAGCTTTACTTAATCTATAAAATTTATGTAGATTTATAGTATTTGAGACTTATAGATTAAAACTAGCTGCAAACAGGAAATGTAACAGCTTCTTACGCTGGTTACTGAACATTTCTGCACTGGAAACCATGGCTCCTTCTACAGCATCAACCTCTTTGGTCTATTGCCTCCAATAGCTATAATTTTATTAACATACACATTACTACTTATATCCAGGAGAAAAGGTAACCCGTCAAGATGGTTTACAGAGAAACTGTGCTAAAATATATATTTTAAAATGACACATCCACATGTATTTGATGTTTAATATTCAAACAGATATGCCTTCTAATAGCTAATAGCCATTAACATATTTCAATGAGGCTTTGCCACTTAAGGTACAGAGACAAGACACACATGGATGTATCATGTGAAGTAAGCAAAATACCTATGCATCAGACACCAGAGGTGCCTTTTGAAAAAATAGTTATGATGGTAAACCAATATAGATTTACAAGTGCCAAACATTCACAGTAATATATGCTGTCCTTCCACCTGCACTTGATTTAAGGGGAAATACTATATTTCATTCATTTTCAGACACGGCACCCCAAAAACAACGGTTCCTATTTGAAAAAAATAGTTATGATAATAAACCAACACTGATTTATGAGTACCAGCAATATTATCCAGACTTCCACGTGCATTTGTTTTATTCAAAGACACCCTCATTCATTTTGAAGCACTTTACCCCAAGAACAGCAATGGTTCCTATTAAAATAACACAGCTGAACTGCATGGCAAAAACAGACTGGCAGCAAACATTTTTCCCCGAGAAACTTGGCCAGACAGAGACACACACACTGGAATTCCAACCAGCCAGTCAGTAAGCACCTTGCAAAGCAGCAAAGCAAAACTTTACATAGATAAATAACACCACACACAAAACACAAAAAACGCTTGCTTGTCTCAACCAGTATCTCCAAAACAATAATGCTGTGGTTTGTTGCAGTCCTAGCCACTATCCCTGAGCTACTAAAAGTGCATCTACACTGTGGAAACAATGTAATTTGACAACATTTTAAATGCCACAGCTTAATGCTATGGAAGGTTGGGAGTTGTAGTTTTTACACCAGGCATGGCCATCTTGGGCCCTCCAGGTGTTTTAGGCTTCAACTGCCAAAATCCCTAATAGCTATTAGGAATTATGGGTGTTAAAGTCCAAATACCTGGAGGGCCCAAGTTTGCCCATGCCTGTTTTACACAGTCTTTAGCTTTAAGAGCCCCCTGGTGGTGCTGAGCTGTTGAACTTACTGACTGAAAAGTTGGCTGTTCGAATCCAGGGAGCAAGGTGAACTCCTGCTGTTAGGTCCGGCTTCTGCCAACTTAGCAGTTTGTAAACATGCAAATGTGAGTAGATCACTAGGTACCACTTCAGCAGGAAGGTAACAGCACTCCATAGAATCATGCCAGCCACATGACCTTGGAAGTGTCTATGGACAACGCCAGCTCTTCGGCTTAGAAATGGAGATGAGCACCACCCCGAGTCGGACACAACTAGACTTAATGTCATGGGGAAACCTTTGCCTTTACTTATCTTTCTTTGACAAAGAAAGAGTGCTGGCAAGCACACACACACTCCACCAAACTACAACTTCCATGATTCGATAGCAGTCCAAGTAGTGCCGAACTATGGGCACTTCCACACAGCCCTATATCCCAGAATATCATGACAGAAAAATCCCACAATATCTGCTTTGAACTGGAGAGCCTCCTCCACAGCCCTCTATCCCAGAATATTAAGGCAGAAAACCCCACAATATATGCTTTGAACTGGATTATCTGCGTCCACACTGCCATATATCCCAGTTCAAAGCAGATAGTGTGGAATTTTATTCAGCTGTCTGGAAGGGGCATGGGTTATATGAGTCCACACTCAGATAATGTGGATTTTCCACCTTGATATTCTGGGATATCAAGGTGGAAGCACTCTGAATCAATTCTACAATGTTAAGGCTGTGGGCTGCTTCTATCTATCTCAGCCAGACTCAACCACTAAGGCTTTTGCAGCCTCCCACTTTTAGCTTTTAAACTCCTGTTCAGGTAGGTAACGGTCTTCCCCTGACATTAAGTCCAGTCGTGTCTGACTGGGAGTTTGGTGCTCATCTCCATTTCTAAGCCAAAGAGCCAGTGTTGTCCGTAGACACCTCCAAGGTCATGTGGCCAGCATGACTGCATGTAGTGCTGTTACCTTCCCGCCTGAGCGGTACCTATTGATCTACTCACATTTGCATGTTTTTGAACTGCTAGGTTGGCAGAAGCTGGGGCTGACAGCGGAAGCTCATGCCACTCCCTGGATTCAAACCTGTGACCTTTCGGTCAACAAGTTTAGCAGCTCAGTGGTTTAACACACTGTGCCACCAGGGGCTCCTGTTCACAAGGAGACAAATGGAAGCTGCTGTTCACTCCCAAACCTCATCATCCCCAAGCAGGAAAAGACAGGGCGGCTCTTAACATAGGGTCCTTCCACACAACCCTATATCCCAGAATATCAAGGCAGAAAATCCCACAATATTTGCTTTGAACTGAGTTATTTGAGTCCACACTGCCATATATACCAGTTCAGAGCAGATACTGTGGGATTTCCTGCCTGGATATTCTGGGAAATAGGGCTGTGTGGAAGGGCCCCAAGAAAAGAGGCAAAAGGTCTTGAAAGTAAGGCATATCTTCCCAAATTTGCCTCCTCCTTTTTAAAAGGAGGCAGCAGCAGGTTGAGGAAACCAGAAGGAAATATTCCTCCCTCTTCATTCCTTCCCAAAAAGACACACCAAGGGCCCTTCGACACACAGCCCTGTATCCCAGAATATCAAGGCAGAAAATCCCACAATATCTGCTTTGAACTGGGTTATCTAAGGCCCCTTCCACACAGCCCTCTATCCCAGAATGTCAAGGCAGGAAATCCCACATTATCTGAGTGTGGATGCAGATAACCCAGTTCAAAGCAGATATTGTGGGATTTTCTGCCTTGATTGTCTGGGATACAGGGCTGTGTGGAAGAGCCCTAAATCCACTCTCAGATAATGTGGGATTTTCTGCCCTGATATTCCAGGATATAGGGCTGTGTTGAAGCTTTTTCTTGAGGGCTTCTCTCCCCAAATGCACGTGAAGAAGAAACCCCTTCGGCACTGCCATATAAAATCCAGATTATCTGATTTGAACTGGATTATACGGCAGTGTGGACTCATATAATCTGGTTCAAAGCAGATCATGTAGATTTATCTCACTTTGAACATTAATCTGAGGCTCCTTCCACACAGCTGAATAAAATCCCACATTATCTGCTTTGAACTGGGATATATGGCAGTGTGGACTCAGTTCAAAGAAGATAATGTGGGATTCCCTGCCTTGATATTCTGGGATATAGAGCTGTGTGGAAAGTCCTTCGCTTCAATTCCTTCAGGGAGTTACATGCGAAAGAGAAACCCCTTCGACACCACCGTATAAAATCCAGATTATCTGCTTTGAATCGGATTATATGGCAGTGTGGACTCATATAATCCAGTTCAAAGCAGATCGTGTAGATTTCTCTCGCTTTGATCATTAATCTGAGGCTCCTTCCACACAGCTGAATAAAATTCCACATTATCTGCTTTGAACTGGGATATATGGCAGTGTGGACTCAGTTCAAAGAAGATATTCTGGGATATAGGGCTGTGTGGAAAGTCCCTCACTTTGATTCCTTCAGGGAGGTTTCCTCCCCAAATACACGTGGAGAGAGAAACCCCTTCGACACTGCCACATAAAATCCAGATTATCTGCTTTGAACCGGATTATACAGCAGTGTGGGCTCATATAATCCGGTTTAAAGCAGATCGTATAGATTTCTCTCGCTTTGATGATTAATCTGAGGCTCCTTCAACACAGCTGAGTAAAACCCCACATTATCTGCTTTGAACTGGGATATATGGCAGTGTGGACTCAGTTCAAAGAAGATATTCTGGGATATAGGGCTGTGTGGAAAGTCCTTCACTTTGATTCCTTCAGGGAGGTTTCCTCCCCAAATACACGTGGAGAGAGAAACCCCTTCGACACTGCCACATAAAATCCAGATTATCTGCTTTGAACCGGATTATACAGCAGTGTGGGCTCATATAATCCGGTTTAAAGCAGATCGTATAGATTTATCTCGCTTTGATCATTAATCTGAGGCTCCTTCCACACAGCTGAGTAAAATCCCACATTATCTGCCTTGAACTGGGATTGTGGACTCATACAATCCGGTTTAAAGCAGATCGTATAGATTTATCTCGCTCTGATCATTAATCTGAGTCTCCTTCCACACAGCTGAGTAAAATCCCACACTGTATGCCTTGAAGTGGGATATATGGCAGTGTGGACTCAGTTCAAAGCAGATAATGCGGGATTTCCTGCCTTGATATTCTGTGGAAGGGGTCTTTCTCCCACTCTCTCTCCCACACACTTCATTCCTTCGAGGAGTTACTTACCAAAAATTCATGTGAAGGCGTTCCTTCCTTCCTTTCAGTTCCTTCCTCACGTTACCTACCCCCCAAATAGCAATACACGTGAAGAAGGGAAGGTCAGGCTCCCACTCTGGTTCCTGGTGTCCTCCTTCCACGTTTCCTCACACATTGAGGCACCTCACAACTCAAAACAAAACAGGAGAAAAGACTTCTTGGCCTTTTCCAAAGCGGCGCCCCCTTCTGGAAGGAAAAAAATAATAAAGGAGGACCCCGCGCCTGTCTCTAGTCAGAACTCCAACTCCATCCACTCAGATTGGGAAGGAAACAAGGCACTCACCGGGAGGGAGGAAGGAAGGAAGGAAAGAAGAGCCGAGCGCGCCTCTCTCTCTCTCTTTCTCTCTCTCACCCTCTCTTTCGCCTCTCGCGCTCAGCTCGGCGCCGCCATTTTGATCGCTGCCTGGATTTAAAAGAGGAACCAGCCTCCCTCGGAAAAAAGAGCCAGAGCCAGGCCGGCAATGCCGCGCAAGGGCCGCTGGGAACTGTAGTCTGCAAGGCTCCCTCTGGGAGGCATAGCGAAGGGGCGCCCGCCCAGGCCACGCCCCCTCCGCGCCGCGATTGGCTCAAAGGCGGTGCATGGCCACGCCCCCTACACGCATACATTATTACACTCACTCAACCAGGCATGGGCAAACTATGGCCTTCTCTCCAGGTGTTTTGGACTTCAATTCCCACCATTCCTAACAGCCTCAGGCCCCTTCCTTTTCCCCCTCAGCCGCTTAAGCGGCTGAGGGGGAAAAGGAAAGGGCCTGAGGCTGTCAGGAATGGTGGGAGTTCAAAACACTTGAAAGGCCAAAGTTTGCTATGCCTGCACTAAACAGAGCCCCGCAAAGCCTCTTGGGAGTTGTAGTCTCACCACGAGAGGAGCTTCTTCCTTTGGAAAAATGAGGCAGTCATTCTTCCACTGGAGGGTGTTTTTCCACTGGAGTGCAACTGTAATGTCCTGGCTTAACATGTTGCTCGTGTAAGCCTCTATTGTGTTGGGCATGAGATAAGTAAAACTTTATGTAATGTTATGTATTCTGTCGCCACTGGAGGCGAAATTAAATGCTTCTAAAAGAGGATGCAAGGCTTGCGTCCAGCAGGAAGCCCGGGGGCCCAAGAAAGAACCCTTAGAGGAATTTCTCCTATTAAACAGGCTTTAGGAGACTTAAGCTTAAATACAACAGTCTTTCAGTTCTTGTGGGTTTTTTCGGGCTATATGGCCAAGTTCTAGAGGCATTTCTCCTGACGTTTGCCTGCATCTATGGCAAGCATCCTCAGAGGTGAGACCTCACCTCTGAGGATGCTTGCCATAGATGCAGTGAAACGTCAGGAGAAATGCCTCTAGAACTTGGCCATATAGCCCGAAAAAAACCATAAGAACTGAGTGATTCCGACCATGAAAGCCTTCAACAATACAACAGTCTTTATTAATGAACAAGCAGGAATTGTAAAATTTCTAAATAGTCTATTGGCTTTTGCAGTCTTGTTTGCAGGAAACAGGCACTATCTTCAAGAAACTTTGTTTAACAGAAAAAATCCCCTTTAAAGCTCCTCCCAGGCTGCTGTGAACTTAAACCTGACTGGTTTGAGTCTGCTACTGGCTGAACTCCGTCTCAGAACCAAACAAACGTACCAGCAGGCTTGAAATCACTTAGCTGAAGATGAAGAGCTGTTATTCCCTCCGGAGGTCCTCAAGGCTGTAAAGCTGTTCCCTGGAACCCTTTGGGAATCCGTAGAGGCCTTCAATCTGTTCTTCCCCAGGAAGTCTTAAAAGACGAAGCTTTTGCACAGGAGGAATGTCTGTACGCATCCTCTGCCTTGGCTTCCCTTGCCGTAACTAACTAAAAAATGGCCCCTTCCCTCCAAAAGGCAAAAGGGGGTCGGGACCAGGGATCCTAACTATAATTGGCAGGTGGCTTACCCTATAACATGCAAATTATAACAGGAAACCCCCTGCTGCCAAATCCCAAGCATGGGATTGCACACAAACATTTAAACACAGCAAATAAATCTGGAGCTCCTGGAACAGCTGTTCCAGAACATTATGTAAGAACTGACCATGGAACAACTGGTTGTATTGTTTTAATCTACTGCTGTAAACCGCTCCGAGCCAAATTGGGAGTGGCGGTATACAAGTCAAATAAATAAATAAATAGAAGAAAGCATAAACCTGGGTGCAGCTAAACATAAAAAACCCAAGATTATGGCAACAAGAATGATTGACAGGTGGGAGATAGAGGGAGAAAACATGGAGGCCGTGACAGACTTTGTATTTCTGGGTGCAAAGATTACTGCAGATGCAGACTGTGGCCAGGAAATCAGAAGACGCTTACTTCTTGGGAGGAGAGCAATGTCCAATCTCGATAAAGTAGTAAAGAGTAGAGACATCACACTGGCAACAAAGATCCGCCTAGTCAAAGCCATGGTATTCCCTGTAGTAACCTACGGATGTGAGAGCTGGACCTTAGGGGAGGCTGAGCGAAGGAAGATAGATGCTCTTGAACTGTGGTGCTGGAGCAAAGTTCTGAGAGTGCCTTGGACTGTGAGAAGATCCAACCAGTCCATACTTCAGGAAATAAAGCCTGACTGTTCACTGGAGGGAAGGATATTAGAGACAATGATGAAGTACTTTGGCCACATCATGAGAAGAAAGGAAAGCTTAGAGAAGACAATGATGCTTGGGAAAATGGAAGAAAAACGGAAGAGGGACTGACCAAGGGCAAGATGGATGGATGGCATCCTTGAAGTGACTGGATTGACCTTGAAGGAGCTGGGGGTGGTGACAGGGAGCTCTGGTGTGGTCTGGTCCATGAGTCACGAAGAGTCGGAAATGACTGAATGAATGAACAGCAACAAATGTAATAGAATATATTGTATATACATATAATATTTATAATATTATAGTGTAATGCAATATAATAATAATAATATGATATTGAAATTATATTTTTATATTACATGTAATATTACTAATAATATTACAATATAATGATATAGTACTATTTATTTATTTATTTATTTCCAGTATTTCTACCCCATCCTTCTCAACCCCCCGAAGGGGGACTCAGGATGGCTTACATTTGGCACAATTTGATGCCATTAAATATAACAAAACAATATAACAACAATTAAAACAATAAATAGAGCATTAATTACAACAATAAAAACTGTATTAACCTCCGTATCACCATAATATTTAATACTGATATTGTACTATGCTAATAATATAATATATTGTATGTATATATATCTTGTAAGCCGCTCTGAGTCCCCTTGAGGATGAGAAGGGCAGCATATAAATGTCGTAACTAAATAAATAAAAAGTAAGGGTAAAAGGGCACATTAAGTCTAATTGTGCCCGTGTCTGGAAAGTGGTGCTCATCTCCATTTCTAAGCCAAAGAGCCGGCGTTGTCCATAGACATCTCCAAGGTGTTGTGGCCGGCATGACTGCATGGAGCGTCGTAACCTTCTCACTAGAGAAGTACATATTGATCTCACATTTGCATGTTTTTGAACTGCTAGGTTGGCAGAAGCTGGGGCTCACCCCGCTCCATGGTTTCGAACTGCCAACTTTTTGGCCATCAAGGGTTTATTCCACTGAACCACCAGGGTACAACTTTAAAATTTCATTTATTTATTTATTATTAAGAGCATTTCTATCCCATCATCGCCTCCGAAGAGGGACTCAGAATGGCTACCAGCAGACACTGTTTGGTGCCAAGCAATACACAGCATAAAATACATTTAACCTACCTTTTAAACAGTTATAAATACATTAAAACAATATATTATCAAAGGCTTTCATGGCCGGAATCACTGGGTTATTGTAGGTTTTTCGGGCTCTATGGCCATGTTCTAGAAGCATTCTCTCCTGACGTTTTGCCTGCATCTGTGGGAAGCATCCTCAGAGGTAGTGAGGTACAGTAAAACAATTTGCCATTTTATGTCATCCTCCAAGTCAATCCATAGCCGTTGGTTTCCATTCCTATCCCGCTTTCTTTCTTTCCTTATCGCGTCAAAAGCAAATTGAGAATACAGTCATAATGTATTTTAAAAACCACAAAGTTCAAACCTTGGCATTATACTAAATGTCCTTTGATCAGAAGTGCCTCTGGTATCGCTGTGAGAAGGTCCTCCATGGTGCATGTCTAAGGCTCAGATTGCATTGTAATAAGTGTTCTGTGGTTTGCTCTTCTCTGTGAACTTTGAAGCCCCATTTCTTAAGGTTAGCTCTGCATCTTTGTGGTGTCAGAGCATAGTCTGTTCAGCGTCTTCTGAGTCACCCGGTCTTCTGTGTGCCCAGGAGTTAGTCTCTCATCTTGACTCAGCCACAGATTAAGGTTCCAGGTTTTTACCTGCCACTTTTGGACTCTCACTTGCAGAGGCATTCCTGCGAATATCTCTGTATCTCTTAGGAAGCTGTTTCTTGATTTAAGACATTGGGATATTGACTGATGTCCGAACAGAGGATAAGCTGGGGATATCAATGCCTTGTTCCTTTCTTTACTGGCTGCTACTTCCCAACGCATATCAGGTGGTGCAATACCAGCTGAACAATATAATTTCTCCAGTGGTGTTGGGCATAGACATCCTGTGATAATGCGGCATGTCTCATTAAGAGCCACATCCACTTTTTTAACATGGTGAGATGTATTCCACACTGGATATGCATGCTCAGCAGCAGAGTAGCAAAGTGCAAGGGCGGATGTCTTCACTGTGTCTGGTTGTGATCCCCAGGTTGTGCCAGTCAGCTTTCATATTATATTGTTTCTAGCACTCACTTTTTGCTTGATATTCAGGCAGTGCTTCTTGTAGGTCAGAGCACGGTCCATGGTAACTCCCAGGTATTTTTGGTGTGCTGCAATGCTCTGGTGGGATTCCTTCCCAGGTAATCCTCAGAGCTCCAGATGCTTGTCTGCTCTTAAGATGAAAAGCACACATCTGCATTTTAGATGGATTAGGAATCAGCTGGTTTTCCCTGTAATAAGCAGTAAGAGCACCTAAAGCTTTGGAGAGCTGTTCAACCATTTCAAAGCTCCCTGCTTGAGTGGTGATGGCACAATCATTAGCATAGATTAAAATCTCTGTCCATTCTGGCAGTGGCTGATCATTTGTATAAATGTTAAACATTGATGGAGCAAGCACAGTCCCCTGAGGCAGGCCATTCTTCTGTTTTCGTCATCTGCTTTTCTGATCCTGGAACTCAACAAAAAAGCTCCTGTTTTATACCAGATTTCCTATGAAGCAGGTGAAGTGGTAATCCTTTGTGATATTATACATTTTTCTCAGGAGGAGATGATGATTTACAGTGTCATAAGCT